CCAAACCCTAAACCAAACCCTAAGCCCTAAACCCTAAACCAAACCCTAAACCCTTCAAAGGTCCTGAAGATGCGGGGGCCCATGTCTGCCCTAGAGTACGAGGCGGGTCGGTTTTTTGACGGCTTGGGCTTTTGAAGGCCATTCTTCTATCGAAGTAGAAGGAGTTCCATTTAGGGTTCAAGGGTTTCGGGTTTAGGGTTTAGGGCCATTATGTATTTTTTTTCGCGGTGGGTGTGCTTTTTGATTAAGGGTCTTAAGCTTAGAAAGGAGACTAAACCCTAACCCCCAAAAAACTAAACCCTAAACCCCAAACCCTAAGCCCTTAGAGTTTAGGGCCTAGCGTCCAGAGCACGGCAGATTGGGGCTTTACGGCAATGGTTGAGGACACGTGGAGAGCTCGGAGGAGTCAGGAACTGCGTGTCCAGGGCCTGTAGTCTTCGGGGTAGGGTTTAGGGTTTAGGGTTTAGGGGTTTAGGGGTTTAGGGTTTAGGGTTTAGGGGTTTAGGGGTTTAGGGTTTAGGGTTTAGGGATGTTGTTGTGGTGCCGGGGTGTGCTGCAGGATGCCCAACAGCTGATGATATTGGTCTTTCGATGGTCCGTATGACAGGTTTAGGGTTTAGGGTTTAGGGGTTAGGGTTTAGGGTTTAGGGTGAGTATGACTAGTGGCTAGGTTTTTCATGCGACAACACTCCGGCTTTTAATTTCTAGGCCCCTGTCTCGGTGCCCTAAACATTACAACCAACCCTCATATTTCTAAGGCGGGTGGACGGGTTCAGGTCTCTGATTCGGGGAGCTATCGATCTTGAGTCACCAACCCAAAGCACTACCCACCCTAAACCCTAAACCCTAAACCCAAAATCCCAAACCCTAAACCCTAAACCCTAAGCCCTAAGCCCTAAGCCCTAAGCCCTTAGCCCTACCCCCAAACCCTAAACCCCAAAGCCTTGCAGGCACAGGTAAGGCATCCGGATTGCGGTTTACGTAGAGTCCCATTCAGTATATCATAAACTGAAAAGCCGAAGTAGTTAAGGATTCTATTGATTGGGGTTCCTATTGTAAACCTAGTATAATAAAGTATGGTAGATATTGTAAACCTAGTATTCCCATTCCAAACCTGGTTATAATAAATCTGCGAGAAGCAGTCCGAGCTTCGAGGAGCTGATTTGGATGGCTGTTGCGCAAAACATACGGTTGATGGACAAAATCCTGCATGACCTTATATACCTAAACTATGGGATTTATGGTACTATACTATATTGGGGTCATGCAGACTTTTGTCCATCAACAGTATTGGGCAAAATCTTTATCCCCCAATATGTTTAGTATGTTTAGCAATAAGTTCGGCACCATTGTGGGGGTTCTCGGTTAAAAACAGCCCGGGTACAACTAGACTAGAGGCAGCCCTTCAGCGCAGGCGGTGC